TAAAAAAAACACGCTTTTGTAGATAACCGAACTAATAAAAAGTAATAAATAATTTTCAATAACTTTAAAATAATAAAATAGTGATTAACTTAAAAAGTAATTTTATTGTAAAAAGGCGTGATGTCATTTGTTGTAAATATAAAACATACATAAACATAAACACTCACGCCTGTCATCCAGAGGGGTAGGCAGAGATTATGGACTTCCATTTGGCACGATCCTGACACACCTCTCTCGCTTCCTCCACATCCATATACCTACGCATACACGCTCGTCGGTTAAAGGTACTCTTGATTTGGCCCATTTTTAATATATCGCCAATTTGGTCGATAAACTTTCGCCTAGGGCGACCCTTCCCGACTATGCCGTTCACCTCTGCAACATAAATTTGCTTTGTCACTCTTTCCTCATTCATTCTTTCTACATGGCCAAACCACCGAAGCATTCCTTTCTTAATCCTGGTCACAATATCATCTTGCAAACCACACTCTTCTCTTATTAAACAATTTCTCACTCTGTCATTCAGCTTCATCCCTAACATACTCCTTAATGACCGCATTTCTACAGCATTTATTCTACTCTCATGCTTCTTCTGCCACACCCAACTTTCACTACCATACATTAAAGTAGGTACTAACACAGCATTGTGAATTGCCATACGTGCCTTTTTGGACACATTCTGACTTTTCACAATAGAGTGTAGAGCCCCATTCACTCTATTTCCTGCATTCACTCGTCGTTCTATATCCTTATCATATCTACCATCCCTGCTAAACACACATCCCAAATATACAAACTCATCTACTTGCTCTACCAACTCCCCTTCTATTCTTATTTCACATATCGTTTTACTTTCTTCTCTTTCAAAAACCATAACTTTCGTCTTACTTGCGTTCACTTTCATTCCCTTTTCTTTTAATGTCCTGTTCATTAATGTAACCATCATTTGCAACTCGGCTGCCGACGACGCAAGTATGACTTGATCATCGGCGTACAAAAGGCATTTGACGGTTAACTCACCCATTCTTAACCCGCATTCTTCTACTTTCAAATTTTCCAAACAACTGTCCATAAATAGGTTGAACAACCACGGGGAAGCCACACAGCCCTGTCTGACACCTTTATGGATGTCAAACCAGTCCGAGTAGGCCCCGTTGATCCTGACACAAGCACTAGAGTCCCTATATAGAGACTTCAATGCCTGTATCAGACCAGCGCTCAACCCAAATGAGTTCATTGTTTGCCATAACACATCCCTGTCCACTCTGTCATAAGCTTTCTCCAAGTCCATGAACGCACAAAAAACTTTTTGGTTTTTGGCCAAAAACTTCTCGGCGATCATGCGCATGGAAAAGACCTGATCCGTACATCCCATTCCCTTTCTAAATCCCGCTTGCACATCCCAAATTTTTCCGTCAGTTTCTTTCATAACTCTTTCAATTAGTACCTTAGCATACAGTTTTCCCACAATGCTAAGAAGGCTGATACCACGGTAGTTTTTACAGTCCTGCTGTGATCCTTTTCCCTTATATATTGGGACTATCACGGCTTTGCACCAGTCTCCCGGTACCCGCTTAAGTTCCCAACATAAATTAAACAAGGTGTACAGCAGGTCTGACACCACTCCTTCTCCAGCCCTTAGCATTTCGAGAGATACTCTATCATAACCGGCTGCCTTACCTGCTTTCATACTTTCATTGCTTTCATTATTTCATCTATACTTATATCTCTATCTATTTCCTCTTCTTTCGGAATTTCTATTTCATTTAATTCAAGCGTCTCATCACTCATAAACACCCTTTCAAAGTATTCCTTCCATCTTCTTAAACTCAAAACTTCGTCATTCAGAATACAGTCATTCTGGTCTCGTATAGCATTCATTCAAGGCTGTTGTGAATGTCCCCTGGTAGTTCTTACGAGTTTCCAGAACATTTTAATGTTTGCCTGGAAGTTATCCGATATTCTTCTATCATTCTTATCCGTTCTTTTCTGCTTTTTCCTTTCAACTACTTCTTTTACTCTCTTATTTAGGTGTCTAAAAACTGCCTTTTTCCTTTCAATATCATCATTCATACTGCTAGAATCACTAGCCTTGGTTGCTAGTAAATCTAGCCATGCTTTCTTCTTTGCTTCAACTTACATCCTTACCTCATCATCCCACCATAACGTGTTATTTTTCCTTTCATTCGTTCTCTTACTTACACCACATACTTCGGTAGCTGCATCCACTAAACCTTTCTTGACATTATACCACACAGTCTCCAAGTCTAAATCATTTATACACAATTCAGCCATACCACTTATATTTTCTCTCAATCTACATTTGAACTTCTCTTTCACACCTTCATCTTGTAACCTCTCTGTTCTTATACGCTGTAACGCTGTGGTAGACACAGATGTCCGATGCCTCCAACGTCTGAAAAGACCATTAATTCGGCATAAGACCAAGTAATGATCCGTCCCTACGTTAGAGCCCCGGTAAACCCTTGTATCTACCACCGCGCTCCTCATTCTTTCATCAACAATTATGAAATCTATCATACTTCTATCATCACCTCTTTCCCATGTATACGTGTGAATCTTCTTATGACGAAAGAAAGTGTTCGTCACAACAAGATTCTTTTCCACGCATACGGCGAGAAGGCTTTCACAATTCTCATTTATACTTTCATCACCAAACGTTCCCAATATCCTTTCATAACCAAGCCTCCTCACCCCAACCCTTCCATTAAAATCGCCTAATATCACAATATTTTCATTAACCTTGCATTTCATTAGCACCATCCTTACCAACTCCCAAAACTGCTCTCGGATATAAGTGGGCTTAGACATGTCTGGGGCGTAGACCCCTAAAACAAACAACTTCTTTAAGCCCACTTTCATTCGTATCCATAGCAGTCTCGGGCTTACACATTCATACTCTTTTACACAATGACCCATTCTTTCTGAAAGGATGATACCGACTCCCTGGCATGCCCGCTCGGTCTCGTCTACACCAGACCAGTACGCGGTATACATGCCATGTGTAGTGGCATCCTTTCCCTTCCGTTTCGTCTCATTCACACATAACACGTCTATTCCTCTATCATACATCATATCGCATACTTCATCCATCTTATCATTCATCCCTCCACATACATTCAATGTAGCCAGACGGGCTTCCGCAATCCACTTTTCGCCCCTCCGGGGGACAGAACGTGACGGGTGGCGAACCTCGTCGCCGGTTTTCCTCCTGGAGATTCTTCGCACCCCTGCCCCATTAAAGGGGCGCCGGGAACTCGGGGCCATTTCGTTAACATTTTGCCTCATGGTGGTTTGTTGTAAATATTTTTATGGATATTTGTAAAATTAGCGTCAATCGGAAAAATATCTGAAAAAGCACCCCACTATTAGGTTATCTACAAAAGCGTGTTTTTTTAAACTATTATTTATTTTTCTTCTCATATTCATTTCGATTGTGAGAAAATTTAGTGATGAGATATGTATTAGAGAATGTAGTAAGACCTCTTTTTTAATCTTATAAAACTAATTTAATCCTAAAGTTGAAGCTTAATGACTTTGTAAAAGAATTTTAGACGGTTATTATAAATGTACATTAAATAAAATCATAACTGGAAGATATTATTTAGTAATGAAATTAAAGCTAAAAGTACAAATCTAAAAATTAACGAAAGTCAGCCTTTTCACCTTCCACGTGAAGGATAGCATCGTATAGAAATCTACATGTCTGAACTCTCAGTAATTAGAAATATTTCCTGGGCATGTGTCGCACAACTCTTGTGAACGAAACTGGAGCAACCCTATGAGAATGAAAGGGAGCCAGGGCCCAGTTGTGAGACATATGTGGGCTGTAACTTTAATTTTAAACTCTTCTCTACTTACTTTACTTTACTTATCTTTGTAAGTTACATCTCGAAAGCAGTGTGTACAACGTAGTTAAATAGGCGTATAAGAAAAAGCATTATATTTCTGGCTTCACGAGAAAACTGCAAACTCTGATAATAAAAATAACTTACGGACAATATTATAATAGAATATTTTTTTATTCAATATAGATTATATGTAATTCTTATTGGGTAATTTTTTACTTTTACTGCTGCTTAAGAGAAACCAAGGGGACTTTTTCTTGAAAGTAAATTATGCAATATGAAAGGTTGTACAAACTGTTTACAAAATTTATTTTAGAAACCGCTTGAAAGCGACCACCTTATTCCCAGGGGTTATTATCAACAATGCATTAATTTATATTATAATAACCCTTTTTATACAGTTTTTGTTTAATAACATATTTAAACTTTGTAATAGAGAGACCTGCATATTTTCTGGGACTTGGTTCTAATAGCGTATTATATTACCCCATGAATGAGTTACAGAGTCTGTGGAGTCGAGAAACTGTTATCACTGGTGGCCACTGGTGGTATGATTTAAAATGTAATTAATATACTTGACGGCTCCGTGGCGCAGTGGCTTAACAATAAGTTGCAGCACCAAGGGCCGCGGGTTCGAATTCCGCACGGATCAAGTATTTGTATGGCCTACAAATAATTGTTCCGGGTCTGGATGTTTGTCCTCGTACAATATATGTTAGTAAACTGCTCCCACGATACAGGAGAAAATCATAGTGTGGAGGTAACGTTTTAAAAAAAAAATAATAAAATAAATAAAAATGTAATTAATATAGCTATGGTCAGTGGCTGCTTTCTTATAGATTATTATATATTACAGATTATCTTTAAAGAAATGGCTGCTAGCTGACGCATCCTTAAAAGGGCCTATGTTTAGCCGTGGACTTGAAAACGCTTTTGATGTGCTAATTATAATCGAAAGTGTCACTATAGCCGGAAAGGGCCATAAACATCATGGTCCTCATAAGCCAATGTCAGTGTATCCTTATTATCAGTCTAACAATTAATGGTTTATTTAGGGCAGCTAAAGATGGCTTACTCGACGTGTTGCGAGAGGCGACAAGAAAGGAATGTAACAACAAGGACGAGTCGGGTATGACACCCACACTGTGGGCCGCTTTCGAGGGACACATAGAAGCCCTGCGACTGCTGTGTGGGAGAGGGTGAGTTATTTTTATTAAGCATCAATATAAGTTAATATAACTGTTAGATTAGAATAGATATTGTTTCAATATCTAATATACAGGGTTATTTTTCAAAGGGTAGCCAAATTTTAAACTTAAGTACTTATATTAACTATAAATAATGATATACCGTTATTGCAGCTTTTGAAAATACGGGTAAATAAGGCTTCTACTTTTATTTGAAATTATCCCAAATTGAATGTGATTTATGGGCAACAACGCTTTTGCCTAGTGATCGACCCTTACGAATGTGTGCGTGCGAAGTAAAACCAGTTAAAATAATGCATTACCACGCATTTTGAATTTAAAAAATAAAAAGAATAGAATTATTGAGATTTTTTTAAATTAATTTTTCTTCACCGTTTGCCTGTATTACTTATTTTGAACCTTTTATGCAAATTTGACCGGTAGGTTAAAATAATGCTTTATCACGCATTTTGAATTTAAAAAATAAAAAGGATAGAATTATCGAGATCTTTTTAAATTAATTTTCCTTCACCGTTTGCCTGTATTACTTATTTTGAACCTTCGCTGCAAATTTGGCCGGTTTTTGCAAAATAACCCTGTATAAACATTGTTTGTTTGTTCGTATTTTATGCGCTGATACCGTTTATCAGATTGCGCTAAAACTTTGCAAACTTATTGCTTGCACTTGCGCGAAGGTTATAGACACAGTACAATTAATTTACACCAGGTGGCGCGCATATCGTATCGACAAATTTATTTGAAAGCCATTTATCATTCAATTTCAATGAATGTATATTATCGTTTTAATTAAACAATATAACTGTTCCAAATTTAAAACGATAGTTCCACAATTATTATTCTTCTGAGGCAGCAACGCACCGGGTACCAGCCAGTATTATTATAAGAATAACTAACATCCAGACAGTTGACGAGAATCAGTGCCAAAAGTACAAGATTTGTGGCACTGCGATCGGCGCAGCGTGTCGATTAGGGCAAAATTAAGGCAGCTGCAGAATTTAACGGGCTGATGAACAAGTAGAAGAAGATATAACTAACCTATTCTTTAAGTGATAAAATTACGGGTGGCAATTTACGTGGTAGAGTAGTGCTGCAGCTATATTAGTAGTATAGTTGTAGCACGATTGGGTCGGCTCGAACGGGGAAGAACCACGCTCTCACAGAATACCAGCGTAAAATAGCAGCTTGACGCTGTTGTGTTTCGTACGGTGAGTGTGGAGAACCGGAAACTCTTTTTACTGGATATGAGGCGTTCCATCTTAGTCCTCACGGGTGATAACGCATCTGGATTTTGATTCGTAATCGAGGATAGATGTAGATGTCTATGGGCCACAGCAACCACTTACCATCAGGTGGACTGCGAGCTCGTTTGTCACCCTTATCCATTAAAAAAATATATAAAACTTGCTCCTTCGTCCTTGTTCCTTTCTTGATATATTTCTGAAAGGAGTGCTACTCTTTAATATTTTTTTCTCCCCTCAAGAGATTAGTAAATAAACGGTACTACAGCCTATATACGACTCACTGAAGTGTTGACGGGCTGCACATGTCCTAGAAATATTTTACTGCTCAGACATACATCTATTCTTCTGTATAGTCTTCCTCATGATGTTCCCCACCGCCGAGCACGTGAAAAAAATCAGCACTTAAAATTGCAATTAACAATTTTATTAGTGCCGACGTCGATCGAACCTGCGTTGCTGAAATAAAAGTTACATCGAGCGCAAAGCCCCTAAGCAACGACAGCTTACTTTTGCTGGAAGAGAATACCCCATTTTATACCTTGACAAATGAATAATAAAGAATTCGAGATCATGCCTTTCAATGTGCACTGCTTTAAGTACCTATATAGCATATAAACTTAGGATTCACGTTAATATACGTAAATAAAATAAAATATTTATATTATGAAGGTTAATATAATTTCATGGATATTTTTTTTCTCGAATTAATCTCCCCATGCATTTTTATACTGTTTAAATTTTCCCAAAAAACGAAAAATAATGTTAAAAAAATGTTTAGAACTACTTTCATTTTAATTTAAAACATTTTTCCAATAATTACGTGTAAGATTTTTCATATATTTTTTTTAAAAACGATGATGTGAATATTGCCTTTCAACTGCCTTCCCACAATAATATCTTTTCTTTTGTGCGTGGCTAATTAAATCAAATAAAACTAGAATTTAATGAAAAAAAAAATTATATAATAAATTATTAATTTTATAACTCATAGCTTATGCAATATAAATACGAGTAACATAATATATGGCATTTATTACTGTGTTTATTAGACAATTAGTCTCGTGATATCTTTGTGAAGTCCGTCAATTAACCATATCTTTGAAGAAACGTTACAATAACACCAAACATACGGCCGATTTTTCAATTTTTCAAATGACAAAAGTTATAGGTTGACGGCTCCGTGGCGCAGTGGCTTAGCAATCAGTTGTTGCACTGGGGGCCGCGGGTTCGAATCCCGCACGGAACAAGTATTTGTATGGCCTACAAATAATTGTTCCGGGTCTGGATGTTTGTCCTTGTGCAATTTATGTTTGTAAACTGCCTCCACGACACAGGAGATAATCCTAGTGTGGGGGTAACGTTTTTTAAAAAATAACGTTTTTTAAAAAATAAATAAATAAATAAAATAAATAAATAGGACAAAATACAACATTTTTATCATATAAATTTTAAACCGATTGTATATAAAAGTGATATAATAAAACTATTGTATTCACACAAGTGCTGTATTTTAACCAACTTCAAAAAGGAAGAGGTACTCGATTCGACTGTATTTTTTTTAATATGAAATAACTTTTTTCTAAGTGAACCGATTTTGATGATAATTTTTTTAACGATTATTTATTTAGAATCGAATAGAATGATTTGTATTCAATATTGATTATTACATAATACTTATTGAAAGTCATTTTTTTTATTTACCACTGATGCGGAAAATACCTCTGTCCTGGGAAGAACCAGCAAGAAACCCAGCGGGACCTTTTTTTAAACATAATTTCACTTAACATTAATTTTGTTTATACAATTTTAAATGAATTTTCATAAAACCAGCATGGTGGCGATCATCTTATTCCCAGGGGTTATTTTCATTCATGTATTCCTTGATATTATAATAACCCTTTTTGTACAGTTTTTCATTAATAAAACTTTTAAACTTGTTTATTGACAAACTTTGAACATGTTCTGGGATTCTGTTGTAAAAGCGTATACATTGCCCCATAAATGAATTACTAATTCTGTGGAGTCTTGTAAGTGGCATTACAAGCTTATGTTTGTTCCTAGTGTTTAAGGTATGAACATCCTTATTCTTATTAAAGCTATTTATATTTTTATGTACATACATTACATTTTCATAAATATATTGCGATGCCAAAGTTAATATGTTTATTTCTTTAAAATTTTCTCTGAGGGACTCTTTACAATTTAGATTATAAATCGCCCGTATGGTTCTCTTTTGCAAAACATATAGCAAAATATAGCTTCAATATCAGTCGCATTACCCCATAGCAAAATTCCATAAGACATTACGCTATAAAAGTAACTAAAATACACTAACCTAGCTGTCTCAACATATGTGAGACTTCTTATCTTTCTTACAGCATATGCATATACAGCATATGCATATACAGCATATTTGAAAGCTGGTGCGTCTCATGTGGTCCCACCACATGAGACGCACCAGACGTATCGTCCAAAACACAAGCGTGTCTTTTCACTGCTAAAAGGAGCCCGCTCACCTTGGCTCCTACTTTCCGGAATGTATCCTTGGAGTACACTGACCGCCTTCAGTTGTTAGGGGTTGAATTTTCTTCGAACCTAAACTATGGGCGGTTCATTGAGTCCAGAGCCAAAGCAGCCGCAAGGAAACTTGGTGTCCTTGCAAGGATGCGGCAGTACTTCACGCCGGGGCAGCTTCTTACCTTATATAAAGCGCAAGTACGGTCGTGCATGGAGTACTGCTGTCACATATGGGCTGGTACTGTAAAATGCTACCTGGCAACGTTGTACTCATTGGTGACCTTGATTTGGTTGAAATCAATCTTGTCAGCCTCGAGCACAGGCGCAGAGTAGCCAGTCTCTTGGTATTCTATAGGATGCATTTCGGTGAGTGTGCGCAGGAATTACACGCTTTAATTCCTCCCTCTCCTTTCTACCATCGGACAACCAGACGGTCGGCGGGTCTTCGTCCCTTTGTTGTCGATATTCCACACATTAGAACCAAACGGTTTGCTTCGTCTTTTGTAATGCGTACAGCAAAGGAGTGGATAGGCTTTTGGTACACTAAGACAGTGCGATTTCCCATCTAAGGCTGCATCACCACTCACCACCAGGTAGGGATTATAGTCACAAGCACTGGCTTATAATAAGTAAAAAAAATATATAAATTTGATCAAGGCCTGACCAGTAGTTTTGAGTTATCCTTAATAATTTATATTGAAGTCGGTTGTACAAAATTATTTATTTTACCACTTGTAACTTATAACTTTTATCTGACAATTAAAAAATCGTCTCTCAGCTGAATAAATATTTTGTCAAATTGACGGTAACTCTACGTATTTTTTAAGCGTACTGTCATTACTGGAGGCTAACCAGAGATCGATTCGATATTTTTGGTCTACCAATATTCGAGATGTTAATTTTCGACCGTTGGAATCCACGATTATTATGGCATACTTAAATAATTTCTTGTGACACATACGGAACGTGTGTGATAGATTGTCTTACTCATTACACACAGACTATTATCTGTATTCTGTAGATACATCTGTTTGTATACCTATATATATCGTCACTTTCATACGTGGAAGGCAATTAAAAACAGAACAATGCATTCCACGAGGTTGCTCGTTGCATTTCTTCACTTTTTGTGATCAGCTGTTATGTTTGTTTATTAGCGTTATAACTGCGCCGCGGTCGTAATAAAATTAGGGTGTTTGCACATTTACGTACATGATGACTAAGCATTTTATTTTTAGGATATTTCTCATTAAATCTCGTTTTTATAAATATTAATAAAAATATATAAACATATACTATAAATATAAATAAAATAAAACAAAACATTATACGACGCGATGACGCGTTCTTAGGTCTGTCGCAGCAGGGTAGGTTAAAGTGATGGCGCAGCTTTCTTGACTTTCGAGAACTGCTATGTAAAAACTAATGTACAATAAAAATATTTTGATTTTGAGTAAATTTGACGAGGTACATATAGCTCCTAAAGTTAACAATAACATAAAATTAAATTTTCTCCTTTTCCTTATCGATATGTAAAAGTCCATAGATGAACACGGAACTCTCCCATTGTTCCCTACAATGGGAGAGTTCCGTGTACTTATAAGGATTCGCTTTAATCACCGTCGCCGGTCTGAAGATTTTACGTCTAACATAAACGACGTGGTTATAACAGCATATATCGCACCCCATAAAATTTTTCACCTGTGGCCTCAAATTGGAACCGCCACCACGCGGCAAATTAAAACGTAAAACCAATTAGTAATATATGAAAGTATACACTATAATTTTAATTCGTTATACAGTGTTAATTTGCACTCCATACACAAGTTACTGGTAACGCGGCATTCTATCTTAAACCTCAGGTGTGACAATGCATATTTTGTTTTCTAACCAAGGCAGGTGTAAGTGATTATAGGCGCAAGCATCCACTTACCATCAGCTCAACTGTGTGCTTCAATATTACCCTTTTGCTGTAAAATTATAATTTTTTAAAAAATCTTACATCTCCGTTTTTAAAAGATCTATTAAGGTTTTGTTTTACCAAATTATATCACTTCTTTTTTTCAAAGTGTTTTGAAATTATATTTCTAAGCGTTCTTAGTAATGACATTTTTCAATACATTTTAAACCGTAAAATTCAACAGTGGTAGAGTCACGCGGCAGCTTTTGCTGTCGCACGGATGGGCTGGCTCGAACCGGGTTGGTACCACGACCTCACAGAAAACCAGCGTGAAGTAGAGGTTTACCTCTGTGTTTCGCTTGATGAGTGCAGGTGGCCGGAGGCCCTTTTTACTGGAAATGAGGCATTCCATCTTAGTCCTCACGGGTGACAACGCATCTACATTTTGATTTGTAATAGAGGATTGATGTAGATGTCTATGGGCCGCAGCAAGCACTTACCATCAGGTGGACTGTGTGCTCGTTTGTCACCTTTATCCTATAAAAAAAAAACCATAACGTTTTGATCCCGTACTTTTAGTCGTTAGTAGCACGTGAGTCAATCGCCTTATTACTCGCGATTTCACTTTCAGCGCTGGGAATTAAGCACTTGTTACACTGAATTAGCTCGTTAACCCGCTACGTGAGGGTCATGTCATGTCAAATTTACAAGATTTTATTTTTCCAACTTTCTTAAATATTTGCAAACTAAGTAACAACGTTACGTTTTGAAAATAGTACCGGGACGACCAAATTTGTTAGAAAATGTATTTCTTCAAAACAACAGAGTGACGTATAAACAATAGTTTTATGTATAAATCGCGCAAAATTTTTGTATATCTTTAAAAATGTAGCAATAAGCCGGTCATTAACTAAAAGAACCGACAACCAATAGGGAACAAAATATCTCTAGTGACAGCTCCCGTACTTCTAAGCGAAGTGTAGAGCGGCGACGACCTGTTAAGAGATAGTGGAAGTGCGTCACGATTTTATCACGTGGTAGAGCCATGCTGCAGCTATATTAGTAGTATAGTTGTAGCACGAATGGGTCGGCTCCACCGGGGAGGGACCACGCTCTCACAGAATACCAGCTTAAATTGCAGCTTAACACTGCTGTGTTTCGTATGGTGAGTGTAGAGAACCGGAGACCCTTTTTACTGGAAACGAGGCATTCCATCTTAGTCCTCACGGGTGACAACGCATCTGCATTTTGATTGTTTATTGAGGTTGGATGTGGATGTCTATGGGTCACAGCATCCACTTACCATCAGGTGGACTGAGTGCTCGTTTGTCACCTTTATTCTATAAAAAAAGAATTTAAAAATGTAACACTAAATATACCTATTATATCTGACCGATGTACAGAAGAACCGACAACCGATGGGGAGGAAAGGTTCTCGAGCGGCTACCTCGTACCGGTAGATAAAGTGTATTTCGATCTCCCACTAGATGGAGTGTCGACCTGGTAAAAAATGCAAAAGCAGACCGGGGCGACGGAACGCAATGTCTGATACTCAGTGAAATGTCTCGTACAGCGATCGTCAATCCGGCTGCCAATCGTTACGATTAAACCGAATCCTATCTACAAGACGAGAGGTCTATGTCTGGCAGAGGACTATAGAATGATGAAGAAGAAGATATAACCGGCCAAGTGTGAGTCGGACTCGCGCATGTATGGTTCCATACAATCGTAATACACGTTTTTAGTAGGAGAGATACTTATAGCGGCAACAGAAATACACACTGTGAAAACTGTCTACCTACATACCGAGATACAGCCCGCTGACAGACAGACGGACAGACAGCGGAGGCTTAGTAAAGGAGTCCTGTTGGTTACCCTTCGGGTGCAAAATCTTAAAAAGATCAGGCTTAACGTCAGATGTTTATGTAATTTGCTTATAAGTATAAATTACATTGGTCATTAAATAGGATAAATAAAATTGGTAAATACGGTGAGATCCGTAAAATTAGTTTTACTTAAGAAAATAGTGTTTTAAAAATCTTAAATAAAAGATTTCCCTAATATTTTATTCTCCTTCCTATAATAAACATCTACAATATGTTAGAAATAAAAGTACTAGATTTTGTTTCTTGTAACACAAAATTCCCTGTATCTTACAGAGGTGAACCCGACAAAGCCGATTACTTTGGCAACACAGCACTCCACTTAGCTGCAGCTAGGGGGCACAAGGAGTGCGTGACGTTCCTAGTCAATTTCGGCGCAAACATATACGCAATCGACGTGGACGGTCATACGGCGCAAGAACTGGCGGCGATCAACGGTCGAGAGGATATACTGCGGTTCCTAGACCAGGCCACTGGCAAGCTTGAGAACAATGATAAGTAAGTTGTGCTAAGACTGCAAAATAAAATTTAACTTAAAAGTAAAACTGTGTTTTTTCCCATCTATTCGGATGTCAACTAACAGCTTACATAAATCTCACTGCTATCCCCCCCCCCCCCCCCGTTTCATCCCCCGTGTCCTTATATGTGTTGTGGAATTAAACGCCTGTGCCATATGAAAAAAATTTCTAATGTTACTTATAGTACTTTGAATGCTGTCAAAATATTATCTTGCAGTGATATATAGTTTGACTTTCTTTTTATCAACGGCTCAAAAATATAGGTCCTCTCGGTATCGGTAGGAATATTATTGTTCTGTGACATAGGCAATTTCTTCAAAATCTTCTTTAACTTTTTTAAGCCTCATCTTCATTTGACTTCAATATTGTAATAATGAAAAAGTGATGTCCACAAATGTGAGCAGAAGTACGAATTTTTGGAATTTTATAAAACATGGCGTATAACGCGAACCGTTCGGGATAGAATTTTTTTTTTAGGGAACCAAGGCCAACCAAAATTACTGGGACAACCTGTATATAATTAAACGTAAGTTTAAAATTTCGCTACTTTTGAAAAATAACCCAGTTTTTTTAATGTATTTTTTATTGCAGAAAAAAAGCGAAATCCCTAAAAGAGAAAGCAAGAAAAGACCACGAAAAAATGCAAAAGCAATACGCTAAAAGACAGAGCAAAGCAGAGGTGATAGCTGAGAAGGAACTTAAGAAACTCACCAAAGAGTGGGAGCAGGGGTACGAGGAGGTGTCAACTATGCCACACAGACCGAGCAATGTGCTGATGGCGCTGAAGCAAAAAATGATACGATCCACTAGTCAAGGTATGTGGACGACATAGAAACGACGATCCCAAAACTTAGGTTCTAACGTTTTTTTTTTATAGAATAATGGTTACAAACGAGCACACAGTCCACCTGATGGTAAGTTGATGCTGTGACCCATAGACATCTACATTATCCTCGATTAAGAATCAAAATGTAGATGCGTTGACATCCCTGATGACTAAGATGGAATGCCTCGTTTCCAGTAAAAAGGGTCTCCGGTTCTCTACACTCACCATACGAAAACATAGTAGCATTAAGTTACTATTTCACGTTGGTATTCTGTGAGAACGTGGTCCTATCCCGGTCGCGCCGACCCATACGTGCTACAACCATAATATAGCTGCAGCATGGCTCTACCACGTTCGTTTAAATTCAAAACGTTGCGTTGTAAAAACTGGTCAGGGGTAAGCCAGTATATACTTTCGTTTATTTCTGAATTTCATAAATTAATATCCGAGGTGTAAGGAGATATACTAAGCAAACTTTTGTCCTAACTAAGACTGCTAATGTTGAAAACAGATTTTTTGTAGCCACGATATCTGTTGAGTCGTTAAAAAATATTTTTATTTTACGAAGCTATAATATTACCTAGAGAGTGTTAACTAATGCAAATATTTTTTATTTATTGTGGAAATAGTGAATTCTTGAATTCTCATTTTTTTTAATGGTTAGCTAAAGTAAATTATAATTATAATAATCTTTATTGAAAATTGTACAGTGAATATGTGAAGTCTCCGATTGCTGAAGTAGGTTAATTACACTTGTATCTCAGCAATCAGCGCCCTCTCCCAATTTTCTGCCGACTTCAAAAAGGAGACAGTACTCAATTCGACTGTATGTTCTTTTATGTGTTACCTCATAACTTTTTACTGGGTGAACCGATGTCGATGATAATTTTTTTTATTTGAAAGCTGATACTTCTCGTGTGGTCCCATATGAATTTGATCAAGGTCAGACCAATAGTTTTTGAGTTATTCTTAATAATTTATATTGAAGTCTGCTGTACACCATTTTTAATTTTTAATTATATGGTACCCAATAATTTAACAATATGGGTTCCAATTAACAGTAACGTTTCAAACATAATTAGAATAATTTAACTTACTACTTAATGTGTGAACTAAATGTGTATTGAGCGAGTAAATGCTTTAATGTTTAGTTGGTTATATAGTATTATAATTATACGATTTCCAGTCATAATCGTAAATCCGTCTATACTGCTGATATATTTATCGGCTAAGATTATTTTTGCAATTGACTTTATGATAATTAAATTATTGTTGTCGTATAAACGTAAGCCGATAGCATCATCATCATCATCATTAATACAGCCCACCACTAGTTCGCTGATTAACATACACTTCCCACATTCAGTGTAATGTATTGAATACTTGTGCCTATTTTCATCATATTGTCCATTTCTGCATAACATGAAGCGACCTAACGGTTTAGGCAACGGACCTCAAGGCAACGGTTGTATGTTCGAATCCGCAACACCGACGTAAACCGCAACCGCAGTAGTATTACTAGTAGTTTTTAGATGTTGATTTTCATATCGTAATCAGAAATCGAACAAGCACTGGTAAAGTCACAGTTTTTTTACAATTATAATATCTTATATTTATAAGTGGTAGAGCTACACTGTAACTATATCATGTTGCACGAATGGGTTGGCTCATCCGGGGAAGGATCACGCTTTTAAATAGCAACTTAATGCTGCAGTATTTCGAATAGTGAATGTAGAGAACCACAGACCCTTTTTACAGGAAACGAGGCATTCCATCTTAGTCCTCAGGGGTTACAACGTATCTTCTGCATTTTAATTATAAATCGAGGACGAATGTAGATGTCTATGGGTCACAGCATCCACTTACCATCAAGTAGGCTGTGTGCTCGTTTTCCAGCATTATTGTATAAAAAAAACGTGGTATAGCCAGGCACAGTTTATTATGGCTGTACAACAAATGGGTCGAATCGGGGCAGAGCCACGCTCGCACGGTATACCTTGTTTCATATCGCACAGTAAATATGAGAGACGGGAACTGGAGCCGCTATTTGCTAGTTACGTGACATTGCGTGACGGTAGCCTAATAGTTAAGGGTACGGGCCATGAACTCAAAGGTCTTGGTTGAAATTCGCCTTAAGACTACTATCGTGAACAACCCCTGAAGTTAAAAGTTAAGTATTAAACTTACTTGGAGTGATTAACAGGAATGTTAGTAATGTTAATTAATAGCATTCATTATCATCATCATCAGCCATTCACATGTCTACTGATAAACATAGCCTTCTCCCAGGAATGCCTAAAACACGGTCCTGAGCCACCTGGATCCATCGTTTCCTGCATGTCCTACCATATAGTCACTCCATCTAGTGGAGGGCCGTTCTACATTTCGTCTTAATAGCATTGCTAGTATTAAAAAAAAAACTTAGTCCTCAGGGGTGGCAACGTATCGGCATTTTGACTCTTAATCGAGGGCATTTTAGGTGTATATAGTCCGCAGCACCCACTTGTCCTCAGGTGGACTGTCTGCCTCATACTTCTATATAAAACTGAACTGTTTCAGGTAACCTGCTTGCGGATGAGCAGCCCCGGCCCACTTACAGTGCGCTGGTCGGCACCGTGAACTCGGGGGCAAGAGGACGAGGCGCCGTGTACAAAAAGGCACTCGCCAGTAAACTGCGGAATGGGACGGTCGGCCGAAACGAGTCCAATAACAATGATGACTTCAAAGTGAGTTATACACATATATTTAGCAATGTACACCCAAATTTGCGGAGCAGGTTCAGAATCTATATATATAAAAGGATTCCATCTATGTACTGACTCATAATAATATCTCTGGAACCATAAGGCCTAGAGACTTGAAATTTGGTAAGAATACTCCTTTGCCCGAGTAGAAATCAACGGATTTTACAAAATTCCACTCGCAAAGGGGTTGCGGCGGCTTTAATTTAAAAAAAAATTGGCATGTTAAAAATTGCCAAGAACGGATTTTATGAAATTTCACCCACAAATGGCAGTGTCGAGGCATTAAAAATAAAAAATAAATATCTATTGTATGTATAAAAATCAATTGCAGTTTATTATTCTCTTTTTCTCTTTGACTGGCCTGTTGGTCTAGTGGTTAGTGACCCTGACTGCTACGCCGGAGGTCGTGGGTTCGATTCCCACCCAGGACAAATGTTTGTGTGATGAGCACGATCATTTGTTGTGTGTCTGGGTGTAATTTATCTATAATATTTATGTATGTAGAAATATATAAGTATGTTTATCAGTTGTCTAGTACCCATAACACAAGCTCTGCTTAGCTTGGGACTAGATGGCGTTGTTTGATAGTTGTGGAATATTATATTATTGTTACGCGCCACTATTAATGTCTTGTACATGACAACACTAGTTACACTAGCGCCCCCTAGTGTCGAGTAAATGAAAGTATTGCGCGCCACTATTAATGTCTTGTACATGGCAACACTAGTCACACTGCGCCCTCTAGTGTCGAGTAGCAGAACTAGGAGAGTCGAGATCCTTCCAGAAATTTCGGGACCGATATGTACTCGAACATTCTAGATGTCGCTACAGTAGAAGGTTCTGGAAACTATCTGTAGCCCTATATAAGACCGGTATAGACCACGACCGGGGCAGTATTGAATTGGCGATACAAGAGAATACTTCGAAGCGAAATAACGGCGAACTGTGTTTTATTATTAGTGTGATTTTTGATTGTAATTAGTGTTGTGTAATTAAAGTGTCAATTTTGGTAATTCAGTCGGCAGTTTTTAATTGTCTCGAACCCGAAGCTCGTAACAATTGGTGTCAGAAGTGGGATCAAATATGCCGATTTTACCTAAAGACGACACGGAGGGTATCCGTACCCGAAGTCAACGCCAACAGGAGACGGACCAGAGACGATTTGGTAATGCAACGCCGCAAACGTCGGAGGGCCAGTTGCTAACCACGGAGGCTGGCCCGTCAGCAGCTCCTGCATCTGCAGCACCTGACTTGGGTGCTCTGATGATGATGCTGCAGGATCAGGCTCGCCGACAGGAGGAACAGGCCCGCCGACAGGAGGAACAGGCCCGCCGACAGGAGGAACAGACCCGTCGGCTGGAAGAGCAGCTGCAGCGCGGTATGGAAGAACAGATGCTCCTCAGGAAGGACCTTCACGCTACCTTCGGGAAAGAGATAAAGGAGGTGAAGGATAGGGTTGCTCAACATGACAACCGCCTGTCGGAAGCTGAAACCCGAATCGACCAAGTGAACAATCGGGTTGACAACGTGATGGCTGATGTGAAGAAAACGCTGGACGACCTCAAACTTGGGGATGGAATCACAGCTCCCGTGGTAGCTACAACACCTTCGCTACGTGGATTCAAAGTGCCGCCGTTCGACGGGAGTTCTTCCTGGTCGGCCTACAAAATCCAGTTCGAGGCTGTCATGAAAGCGAACGGCTGGAATAAAAGTCAGGCCATGACTGCTCTCACCCTAGGCCTACGCGACCAGGCCTTAACTGTTTTGGAAGCGCTCGGTAAGGAAGTGACTTACGAGCAGCTCCTTGAGGCATTGGAGGCGAGATATGGCGATGCTCACCTGGAACACGTCTTTCGTGCGCAGCTCCAAGATCACGTGCAACGCAGTAACGAAAACCTGCAGCAGTGGGCCCTTGAGGTGGAGAAGCTGGTTCGAAAAGCGTACCAGTCTGTACCTGTGCTCATTGTAGGGAACCTGGTGCAGACTTTCATCGACGGCATCCGCGACCTTGAAGTCAGAGCTGCTGTGAGGCTCGGGCACCACCAGACGCTTAAGGACGCCCTGACCCATGCACTGGAGGTGGAAGCCGTGCGGCAGGATCATCGTTCCCACCGCGTCAGGGAGGTTGCAGCAGCTACAGTTCAGGACCGCAATAAGAGCTATAACCCTAGGTGCTACGGCTGTGGGGAAAGGGGCCATCTTCGATCCAGCTGCCCTAAACGAACTGTAGAAAGGGAAGGTGATCGATATCGAGAGGGTAGTGTGGCTGACAGCACCGCCCAGCAGCAGCAGGGAAACTGGCGGGTGCTGGCTGATGTTAAAAGAGCCCCAAGGATTTCGATCTCACAAACCCGAGATGGAAACAGCCTGATCATCAAGGGCGAGGTCAACGGAAAGCCGTGTAAACTAACCATAGACACTGGAGCCTCTCGCACGGTTGTCAGTTCCCAACTTATAAATCAGTTTCTTGGGGACTCCGCATACAACCGAGAACGCATTAATTTGGTGACAGCCACCGGTCAGCGCATACCCGTCCGTGGAGAGAAGGAGATGGAGTTGAAGCTAGGCAACATGATCTACCTGCATAATGTCATCGTGGCTGATATAATGGACGACTGCATCTTGGGCCTAGACTTTATGAGGAAGAATTGTTGTGAGATCGACGTTAAGCAAGGTGTTTTGAAATGTGGACAAGAAGAACTTTTCGTGGAAGGGGCGTTACCAGGGAATGTGTACAGCCTTAAGAAGATTGTTCTTCCGCCGAGATCGGAAACGATTGTGCCGGTTAGTGTTCCTCGGAGTCCTGGGCAAGCCCATCGTTGTGTACTCGTGGAAAGGGTAGACAATGACCTTCCATGGAAAGTGGCTCGAACCTTGGTCAGAACCACCGACATCTCAGGAGTACGTGTGTTGAACCTTTGTGATCAGGAACAGATTATAGAAAAAGGCACGTTGGTTGGTACTAGTGAGGAAGTGGATTGGTTGCGTCGATGCGAATATCTATCGACCGGGACCCCCAGCAAGGATGGACAAACGATAGTGACCACACTTTTGGAAGACTGTCGCAGCGTTCTTTCCCCGAATGAAATGGTCAAGGCGAAGAAGTTGTTACTCAAGTACGCCAATGTTTTCTCGTCAAACGAAGCTGACATAGGAAAGACTAGCTTAGTTCAACACAAAATAAACACAGGACAAGAATTGCCTATTCGTCAGCGGCCAAGAAGATTGCCTGTAGCACGTGAAAAGGAAGTGGAAACCATGATTGAGGGAATGGTGAAGGATGGTGTTATTGAACCTTCATCTAGTCCATGGTGTTCACCTGTGGTGCTGGTAAAGAAGAAGGACGGCAGCATGCGGTTTTGTGTTGACTATCGCCGCCTGAACGACATTACAAAGAAGGACAGCTATCCCTTGCCAAGAATTGATGACACGCTGGATATGCTTACAGGCGTAAAGTGGTTTAGTACGCTAGATCTGAAAAGTGGCTACTGGCAGGTTGAAATTGACCCTAAGGACAAGGAGAAAACTGCATTCTCCACAGGAAAGGGTCTGTGGCAATTCAAAGTCATGCCGTTTGGATTGTGCAATGCTCCAGCAACGTTTGAAAGGTTGATGGAGCTTGTACTTACCGGGCTAATTGGAGATGCTTGTCTGGTCTATTTGGATGACATCATCATCGTAGGCCGTACGTTTGAGGAACACCTTCAAAACCTGGAACGCGTGCTCATGAAGATCCAGAGTGCCAACCTCAAGTTGAGTCCAAAGAAGTGCTCACTATTCAAACGGCAAGTTAGTTTTTTGGGGTATGTAGTGTCGGAAGAAGGTATCCGCACGGATCCAGAGAAAATTGCTGCTGTCAAGGAGTGGCCGGTCCCAAAAGACAAGACACAGGTTAGAGCATTTTTGGGTTTGTGCTCTTATTATCGGCGATTTGTGAAGAACTTTGCAGATATAGCCAAACCTCTGCACAAGCTAACCGAGGAGAAGCGACAATTCTGCTGGGATGAAAGTTGCGATATTGCATTCCAGGAGCTCAAGAACCGCCTGTGCAAAACACCTATTTTGGGGTACCCTGATGCGGGCAAGGAATTCATAGTTGACACAGACGCAAGTGATATAGGACTTGGCGGTGTGTTGTCTCAACGGAATGGTGATCAAGAGATTGTGATAGCGTACTTCAGCAAGTCGTTGTCAAAGCCGGAAAGGAACTATTGTGTCACAAGACGGGAATTGCTTGCTGTGGTAAAGTCCTTGCAGCATTTTAGCAAATATCTTCTAGGGCGGAAATTCCACTTACGAACTGACCATGCTGCACTGAAATGGCTATTGCAGTTCAAAAATCCGGAAGGACAAGTTGCGAGATGGATAGAACTACTGCAGGAATACGACTTTGTGATCGAACATCGCAGCGGGAAATCTCATGGCAATGCAGATGCATTGTCAAGAAGACCTTGCCCTGAAGATTGCAAGCATTGTACTAGGCAAGAGGGTAAGGAAGTGGTATCTGTGAGAATGCTCAGGACAGACCAGCTCAGCAATGAGTGGAAGGACAGCCTACGACATGCACAGCAGGAAGATTCGGACATTAAGCCGATTCTGGAATGGATGAAGGCCAGTGCTCCTAAGCCCAAGTGGAGCGACGTCTCAGCAATGAGTTCGACCACGAAAAGCTATTGGGCCCAATGGGACAGCTTGCTGATTCAGGATGGAGTCCTGTGCCGTAAATGGGAAAATGGTCGGGGAGACAGGTGTCATTTGCAAATGGTTGTCCCTAAGGCTAAAGTGCCGGATATTCTACAGCTGTACCATAGTGGTTGTTCAGGAGGCCACCTGGGAGTTAAACGAACTCTCCTGAAGATCCGAGAACGGTTTTACTGGGTCCACTGTCGTGACGATGTCGAGGACTGGTGCCGCAAATGTACAAGTTGTGCGGCTGTAAAGGGACCTCAAATTCGTAGTAGAGGCGCATTGAAATTGTACAATGTTGGTGCACCATGGGAGAGGATAGCCATTGACGTTGCGGGGCCGTTTCCAGAAACTGAAAGTGGTAACAAGTATTTCATGGTAGTGATGGATTACTTCACTAAGTGGCCAGAAGTCTTCGCCATTCCAAATCAAGAAGCTTCAACAGTTGCAGATAAACTAGTTCATGAAGTCTTCTGTCGTTTTGGAGTACCCTTAGAGATTCACAGCGATCAAGGAAGGAATTTTGAGTCTCAAATATTCCAGGAAACTTGCCGAGTTATGGGTACTCAGAAAACACGAACAACTTCTTACCACCCACAATCTGATGGAATGGTAGAAAGATTTAATCAGACATTGGAGAGGTACCTAGCAAAAGTTGTGGAAAAACGGCAACGAGACTGGGACAGGCACATACAACCGTTTTTGTTGTCATATCGAAGCGCTGTTCACGAAAGTACATCAGTGACACCAGCTTTCGCAAACTTTGGGAGAGAATTGCGGCTGCCTGCAGACCTGATCACCGGAATACCACCTGATGCCCCACGCAGTATAACCGATTATGCAAATGACTTGCGGAACAAAATGAATGACATTTATGAGCACGTCAGACAGACGGGCCAGCAAACGTCTGAGAAGATGAAAACACGGTATGACCGCATAATGAACAACAAGGGCTTTGATGAAGGTTCACTAGTGTGGTTACACAATCCAGTTCGCAGCAAAGGGAAATCTCCTAAGCTTCAAGCTAAATGGGACGGACCGTACCGGATTGTGACAAGGATCAATGATGTAACCTACCGGATACAGAAAGGTGCCAGAGGTACTCCTAAGATTGTCCATGTGGATCGACTGGCGCGTTATTATGGGGCCAATAATGCTCGGGACGAGCATGTCTTAGGAGGGGGCAGTGTTACGCGCCACTATTAATGTCTTGTACATGGCAACACTAGTTACACTAGCGCCCCCTAGTGTCGAGTAAATGAAAGTATTGCGCGCCACTATTAATGTCTTGTACATGGCAACACTAGTCACACTGCGCCCTCTAGTGTCGAGTAGCAGAACTAGGAGAGTCGAGATCCTTCCAGAAATTTCGGGACCGATATGTACTCGAACATTCTAGATGTCGCTACAGTAGAAGGTTCTGGAAACTATCTGTAGCCCTATATAAGACCGGTATAGACCACGACCGGGGCAGTATTGAATTGGCGATACAAGAGAATACTTCGAAGCGAAATAACGGCGAACTGTGTTTTATTATTAGTGTGATTTTTGATTGTAATTAGTGTTGTGTAATTAAAGTGTCAATTTTGGTAATTCAGTCGGCAGTTTTTAATTGTCTCGAACCCGAAGCTCGTAACATTATTATTTTTATTATTATTCTCGATAAAACTCAAAAACGTCTCAACTGATTTTGATGAAAACGTTTGTGCGTGTATGGATGGGTCCTTAGATGGTTTAGATTCACAATTGGACCCGGTGGGTGCCGCTGTTGTCAGATTCAGAGCTAGGGCCAATGCTAAAAGTACTTGTTATTGCTCATGATTAATCCGTTCCCGATGAAATCTAACTCAAAAGTGAATCCGCTGTTTGTCAAGTTCGTTGTAAAATTTGGTAAACATGTTTGAATATTTACCAGCCGCATAAGGATGCCGCGGTAAAGCTGTAGTCAGTGGGCACTTACATGTAGGGATGCTGAAGGATCTCTTACCGTTCCATACCTTCAGAGGGCGCTGAACCTTAAACAAAGGTCACGCTGGTGCGGGAAATGAAGGTGACTTGCAGGGGAGGCAGGCGTAATGACGTTGCGCTTACCGTAAAAAAATATGCCACTTGGTTTCTATTATTGTTTACGTAGGCTGTTAGCTAAAAATGAGTATATCCAAAATGACACCATCATGTTTAGAAGGGGTTAGTTTATTTTTTACGGGACATACGTACATACGGGCCACCGTCATTTTGTGCGGGGTGAAATATATGCACACAACAAGTGGTAAACTTAAAAATTTTGTACAACCTACTTCAATGTAAATAAAATTAAAACAACATCATGTAGTCGAAGTCAATTAAAAACGCATTATTAAGGAAAACTCGAAAACGACTGGTCATCTTGATCAAATTTATATGGGACTACATAAGAAGCACTGGCTTATAAATAAAAAAAAAACCGGCCAAGTGCGAGTCGAACTCGCGCACTGAGGGTTCCGAACAAATCCGTAGGTATATAAGTTTAAAATTATTAAAAATATTTTTATTATATGATGTAACTAAAAATTTATGCTTTTAGCAATTTTTCCTTTATCTGTGCTATAATACGTTGCTTCGTACCAAATTTTAAGATTCTGAGTTCATGGGTAGCACCCTGTAGGTTTCGATTCCCTTGCGAATGTCGAAAATTTGCGGCATAAACGGGTATATCTTTTGATTGCGTTGAATTAGAAGTTTGATTTTTTCACAGCTCCAAGGGACAGTAAACTTGAGTATTTGATATGAATTTCAGCTTGATACCTTCACGCGTTCCTAAAAAACAGGGTCTTGACAGACAGACGGACAACAAAGTGATCCTATAAGGGTTCCGGTTTTTCCTTTTGAGGTACGGAACCCTAAAAAAAAGAATCATCAAAATCGGTTCGCCTAGAAAAAGTTCTCAGATAACTTACATATTAAAAAATACAGTCGAATTGAGAACCCTCTCCTTTTTGGCTTGGATGCTTGTACTTTTAGCCATGTCTTCATTTCATTCGGGATCTTCGTTTTTATAGATTTTCAATATCAAGGAATAATAATCCTTTACACTGCTTCGCAATATGTTGATGCGTCAGAGTGCTTAGGTTTTGGGAGATTTTGAAGGTAACTTGAGCCAGCAGACAGTTGTTGATAGTATCTCAAGGTGACTAAGCTGACAGACACCTTATCTTGAGATTCACATCACTATCAGAGCTCTTGTTTCACCGTTTCTACTAATAGTTACATAAGTCATTTAATACACAAAATTACACCACTTTTAAATATCTAAATCAACTTCAAACCATTATTTAAACAATAATACAGGAGTAGTAATCCGCCGCCGGTCAAGTTCCCGCCAAAACCTCATTCATAATAATTAAAATAATAAACCAAAGAATATATGATAGTATATTCTTTGATTTATTATTTTATTACTAAGTTTCAAGAATCTAACAATTTCACACATACATAAATACAAGTCGCGGCACGTAAGTCTAGCGCTGGATGAAACATGGAGGACACGCGCACGAATTGAATTGCACGAATGCGACTGGAGAGCCAATTAGCGCGTGCGAATGCTAGGCACTAGCCAATCAGCGCGACTTATGCGCAATAAGCCAATCAGGGTGATTTATGATATTAATAACGGTCACCTCTAGACTTTCGTGCCGCTACTTATATATTATAACAGCGACAACTCGGATCAGTCGCTCTCATCACCATCATTACAGCCCTTTACAAGTCCACTGCTGAACATAGGCCTCCTGCCACAAAGCACAGTCCAGAGCCACCTGCATCCATCGATTTCCTGCATGTCTTACCAGGTCGACACTCCATCTAGTGGGGGTCGCCCTACACTTCACCTACCGGTACGAGGCTGCCACTCGAGAACCTTTTCTCCACATCGGTTGTTGGTTCTTCGAGCTATATGGCGGGCCCATTGACACTTCAGTTTACTAATCCGTTGGGCTATGTCGTTCACTTTGGTTTTACTGCGGATTTCCTCATTTCTAAGTTTATTCCGCAGAGAAACCCCGAACATAGCCCTCTCCATAGCTCATTGAGTGACCTTTAGCGTCCTCATACGGCCAGCAGTGAAGGACAAGTACAACTAGATGGCGTTACCTTTTATTATACATATAAGTAATTTTTAATCACATTATTGCTATTTTACTTCTTTTTAAACTTAAAAATTACAATAATAACCGGTCGTGTTATTTCGGATTTGTTTAGTAACACAGGTTGTTCAGTCGCATATGCAGATCAGTCAAGCGATTGATACGAGTCTATATCCAAGTTGTCGCTGTCACCGAGAGATACTGTTACAGTATTTCTGTGTGTGTGAAATTATTTATTTATTGTTTAAATTGTTATGTGTGAGTTTCGTAGTAACAGACGATTGTTTTTGTGTGCGCAGATTACCTCTCCGCAAAAAATGATAGATTAGTTTTGTATTGGGTAAAAACGTTATGACTATTCCCCTTCGCTCCGCCGGTGGGAATATATAATGCAGGACAATTTTCATACGTGCTAGCCTTTTATACGTGGTAGAGCCATTCTGCAGTTATATTATTAGTATAGTTGTAGCACGAATGGGTTGACTCGACTTGGGTATGACCACGCTCTCACAGAATACCAGCGTAAAATGGCAGGTTAACACTGATGTGTTTCGTATGGTGAGTGTAGAGAACTGGAGACTCTTTTTACTGGAAAAGAGGCATTCCATCTTAGTCCTCACGGGTGACAACGCATCTGCATTTTGATTCGCAAACGAGGATAGATGTAGATGTCTGTGGGCCACAGTAACCACTTACCATCAGGTGGACTGTGTGCTTGTTTGTCACTTTATCCATTAAAAAAAACATACTATGGCAAATTAAAATGGGAGTTGATGATATAGAGGAGGGGCGGGTGTTGCAGGTGTGCGAGGTGGAGCGCACGGGGCGGCGGTCGGTGACGTCGCTGAGCGGGCTGCGGCGCGACTCGGAGGTGATGTACGTGGGCACGTTCGCGCGCGCCGGCCCGCCGCCGCGCGCCAACCTCGCCGACGTGTTCGCTGCCGCCGACCAGCCCGCCCGCGCCGCGCTCACCAGGTACATACACACCACCTCGCGTGCTGCAGGTGTGCGAGGTGGAGCGCACGGGGCGGCGGTCGGTGACGTCGCTGAGCGGGCTGCGGCGCGACTCGGAGGTGATGTACGTGGGCACGTTCGCGCGCGCCGGCCCGCCGCCGCGCGCCAACCTCGCCGACGTGTTCGCTGCCGCCGACCAGCCCGCCCGCGCCGCGCTCACCAGGTACATACACACCAGCTCGCGTGCTGCAGGTGTGCGAGGTGGAGCGCACGGGGCGGCGGTCGGTGACGTCGCTGAGCGGGCTGCGGCGCGACTCGGAGGTGATGTACGTGGGCACGTTCGCGCGCGCCGGCCCGCCGCCGCGCGCCAACCTCGCCGACGTGTTCGCTGCCGCCGACCAGCCCGCCCGCGCCGCGCTCACCAGGTACATACACACCAGCTCGCGTGCTGCAGGTGTGCGAGGTGGAGCGCACGGGGCGGCGGTCGGTGACGTCGCTGAGCGGGCTGCGGCGCGACTCGGAGGTGATGTACGTGGGCACGTTCGCGCGCGCCGGCCCGCCGCCGCGCGCCAACCTCGCCGACGTGTTCGCTGCCGCCGACCAGCCCGCCCGCGCCGCGCTCACCAGGTACATACACACCAGCTCGCGTGCTGCAGGTGTGCGAGGTGGAGCGCACGGGGCGGCGGTCGGTGACGTCGCTGAGCGGGCTGCGGCGCGACTCGGAGGTGATGTACGTGGGCACGTTCGCGCGCGCCGGCCCGCCGCCGCGCGCCAACCTCGCCGACGTGTTCGCTGCCGCCGACCAGCCCGCCCGCGCCGCGCTCACCAGGTACATACACACCAGCTCGCGTGCTGCAGGTGTGCGAGGTGGAGCGCACGGGGCGGCGGTCGGTGACGTCGCTGAGCGGGCTGCGGCGCGACTCGGAGGTGATGTACGTGGGCACGTTCGCGCGCGCCGGCCCGCCGCCGCGCGCCAACCTCGCCGACGTGTTCGCTGCCGCCGACCAGCCCGCCCGCGCCGCGCTCACCAGGTACATACACACCACCTCGCGTACACCATGTGCGCGTGTGCGTGTGTGTGTACGTGTGTGCGTGCACCTGCATGTGTGCGTAACGTCTGCCAATTAATCATCGTTACAGCCTATCAAAAGTCCACTTAAAGTAAACAACAATGTTTAACGGTGCCTTTTAGTGCCCTTCTAAGGCGTGCTACATTCTGCACTCCTGAAAATTGTCCACGTGTGTCTTTAAACACCGTTTTGAAAATTATCCATTCACCCGAATCTCCATCGAAGACCGGTAAATCTTGGAGGAAATGGGGCAAGGAAGTCTTATCTTTATCCGCTATCCTTATTAAGTGGCGAAGCTTGCGAAGTCACTTATTAAGTGGCGAAGCTTGCAAAGTCACTTATTGATTTCACGATGTCTGTCCGTCTGTCCCATAATTATCTCGAGAACGGTTTTGAATTTTCAAATTCTGTTTTCAGCAAACGATTACTGATCACCCAGGCATCTAAACCTCCTATTTTGAAACTGATTGCTCAACGGCAACCGTTAGAAACCGCTACAAAGCTGATTGCTTCGCCATTTTACTATGCTGTTAACTTGCTAGGTTTATTGCACTTACAATCGCGTCGGTTAATTATGACACCTCACACGCGTGTGTCTTCTGTGCATTCCCAAGGTTGCGCTCGACCTCCGCTTCCTTGTGGCGTGACCTCCTGGACGCTTCCTTATCTTAAACTAATCGCCGTATATTATGTATGTTATCGCTGAACACAGGCCTTCCCACAGGTGTTGACTCATTTGCCATAGTTGCGACACTTAGCAGGCCCATTGGCAAACCCAATTTTTTATAACTGTATATAGAACATCATGTGCGTGCATGTGTTATTGTGCACGTGCGGTTTATTGTCATCATCACCATTGCAATCTATCAAAAGTCCACTGCTCAACTTAGGCTTCTCCCATAAATTGCCTCATGGGAGAATATTTGCCATAGTTGCCACACTAGGCGGGTTCGCAAACGTGCATACGGCTCACCTGATGGTAAGTGACTACCGCCGCCCATGAGCAACACCAGAGGAATTGCAGATGCGTTGCCGGCCTTTTAAAAAGAAGTAGGCTATTTTCTTGAAGGTCCCTAAGTCGTATCGGTCCGGAAAAATCGCTAGTAGTAATCGATTCCACAAGGAAGTTGTGCGAGGAACATCTTCTAAATCGCACAGTGGTGGACCGCCAATCATCCAGATGGTATGGATGGTATAGCGAATTTTGTCGCGATGTGCGATGGTGAAATTAAGCGGCTGGAAGTAGTCCGAACAATTCCTCAGAGCACTCCCCGTCCACACAGACACATGCGATAAAAGACGCAAAGAGATGCAACATCTCTACGCAGTGCCAGTGAGTCTAGCCGATCGGAAAGAACTCGGTCGTCGACGATTCAAACCGCTCTGCGCTGGATGCGGTCAAGTGGAAGAAGCTGGCACTGGGGAGCCCCTGCCCAGAGATGGGAACAGTATTCCATGTGAGACCGAACCCGCTCCTTGTAAAATTGCAGCTGGCATAAAATACTGCCCGCTCTGCTGAGCACGCCAAGCTTTTTAGAGGCCAATTTGGCCTTCTCTTCCAAGTGACCACGAATTTGCACGTCACTCGATATGTCGACGCCGAGGATTCTGATACTGGCTGAGGCAACAAGGAGAGTGCCTTGAAACGGAGGAAATACTACAAAAGGGTTCCTTTTAGCGATAAATGCGCAAACTTGTGTCTTCTGGAAATTGAACTGGACTAGATTTAGTCGCCCCCAATCCGAGACTTTGTTAAGCAAAGACTCTACTTCAGACTCAAGTTTGTTCCGGTACTCGGCGACGTTTTCCCGAGAAATACTGACACGGCCGGTCTATAGAGCATCACCAGTGCTGTCATCTGCATAACAATGTATGTTACCGGTTTGCAAGATATCATTGATATGCAGAATAAACTGCATTGGTGATAGCACGCAGCCTTGTGGAACACCAGAATTAATAAGCTTGTAATCGGAGCACGCATCGTCTACCACGACCTTGATGCTCCGATAAGCCAGAAAACTGGTGGTCCAATTGCACAATTTCTTGGGAAGCCCATAGGAAGGAAGCTTTGAAAGAAGAAGCGCTTTGAAGACCCGATCTAAGGCCTTCGCTATGTCCAAACTAACGGCCAATGCTTGGACTCGATCGTCTACGCCCGTCTATGTGTTAGGTATAATAATGGACTCCATTATTTTCGAGAACAAGGAGGTAATGGCGATAGGCCTGTAATTGAACGGATCAGAGCGGTTACCTTTTTTAGGGATCGGGTGCACGAAAGCTGTCTTCCATGAATTCGTGACAACGCCTAGGGAGTAGAAGTACCGAAAAAGACGCGTTAGAATCGGTGCCAACTCTGGCACGTCCTCAGCACAATTGGCGAGATTCCGTCAGGCCCACTCGACTTGTGGATGTCCAGGGAGAGGAGTGATTTGCGTACTGAACACTGTGTGTCACAGCACTCACACTGCGGGATGGATGGCGGTGTGTTCCCCCCGTCATCAAGAGTCGGATTGGACGCAAAAAGGGAACCTAAAAGGTCGGCTTTCTCTTTTGAGGCGTGTGCCATTGAGTCATTCTCCCTGTGCAGAGATGGTAGTGATGGCTTACACAAATTCCCTTGGGCAGACTTGGCGAGACACCAGAATGCACGGGTTCCCGAAGGAAGGCGAACTAGTTTCTCGCCAATTCTGCCTATGTGCTCTGACTTTGCCTTGGCAATAACTCTTTTGAAGGACCTGGAGGCGAAGTTATACTTCTTTTTAAGCATGTTGGTGTTTACATCCTGAGCCGCAGATGCCTCAGCCCAGGCTTGATAACACTCCTGCTTACTGTGTAATGCAGTCTTACAGGAGCAACCAAACTAAGGCTAAGATCTGCCACCGATGGGTACCACACATAATGAAATAAATAGTTCCATTCCCTGTAGCACCACATCGGTGACAGAGTCAGCAACAGCGCTGGGATCATACTATATATACGCTGACCTGTAATGCCAAATACGGCGGTAACCTGCAAACATAGGATAAGGGTGATAAGGGCATCGACGGAAACCTGATATCCGTCCAGATGAAAGGTCAGCAGAAGGCTCAACAGGGAAGGTGTATGATCTTCCACATCTGGAATCCGCGTAGGCGAAGTAACCAGTTGTGTCAGACCATATGACAAGGAAAAGTCATAAACAGATCTCCTCGCATGATCGGTTAAACGTGAACCGAGCCAATCAACGTGGTGGGCGTTAAAATCGTCAAGTATCACGATATCTACGGATGGGATCTGTTGTAAATTTGTCTCTTTTTTTCTATCTCGCCTCTTATGGCACCCATGAGACGATATGGAGTAGTGGATATTCTTACACCGCCACGTCACGACAGTAAACTTTGATATTCCCCCATATATTCGCCACAATTGTCGCACTTGCTAGGCGGCTAGGGTAAATGTACTTACAATCCACCTGAAGGCAAGTCTTCTAAAACTTTATTTTATCTTTTCGGTATTACATGACTCAAAAGTAAATTTTATTTCCACAGATCAGCAAGTCAGCCAGACTTTCTAGCAGCACAGGCCGAAGACAGCGGAATAGGCCAGGAGGTGCTGCTCCAAGAACCCGCCAGTATATTCGACAGACCCGGCTTCGGCAGCGTGGCGTTCAGGTTCGTGATTGTATTATTTAATGTGTGCCTCCAATGTGAAGTTAAAACAAAAAATATGTCTAATTAACTTTTGATACTCGTAGATTGCACAGTTCTCTTATTGAACAAAATGCAGATGTATCTTTGTCTTGTTGAAGTTTGATATAGTTATATAAAACCCAACTGTCGTTTGTACAATACGTGAATCGTTGGTTTTTCTTTTAAATTTTCTTTTTTGTGTATTGTGAATATTCGCATTCACACTAGTATTGCATTATAAGCTACTTCCGATCTTATTGCAATAAGCTTTGCTAACAGAGGTACCTCTGTTAACAATTGCACTTGTGGCACTATAGTAACAATGCCCTCTCGACCGAATTCGATCACGGCGGCCAGTCTTAGGGGATACTAGCTATCTGCCTAGGACGGGACGCACACGAGTAGTATAGTACACGTAGTGGTTGCAAGCATAGTTGCACCCTATTCCCTCCCTCTCACAGTTTTATTGGACGGCATTCTAACACATCGTAGAGAGATCAGCCGCAGGACCAACGGCTTTATGTACTTTTCCGGTGAAACATCGCACCTCCTAATAAAGATTAAAAATAAAAAACTGTGCTTGCCAACCCGCTTGAAAAGCGTGGTAATTGTGGCAAATCCCTCCCCATGAAGTAATCTATGGGGGCCTATCACGGTAACGGTTCAATTTATTTGTTTATAATTTATATGTTGATAAAATGTCCAACCCATACGATGAAAATAAAATAATATGCAAGTCCTGATAATTTTATATTAATTAAATAAATTGTTGATTGATTATTTATTTATGTCAATTTTGTACAATGTCAAAAAAACAAATTTCAATAAATTGTTGATAAACATTGAAATATATCTATATATAATCAAGTTATAAATTAATATAATAAAACTATTAGATTAAATATGTCAAAAGCGGGGATGAACTGATATCTTTTTAGTGATTTAAGGATTATGTATTCATTACAATATTTTCATTTATTAATTTCAAGAGCTTCTAAAGGATTTCATTTTAGCCCTTTACTGCATGTATTTATAATTTTAAAATTTAAATGTTAGTCAAAATATGGTGGTTCGTGTTGAGGTGTTGTGCAAATGGCAAATAATTTTTCTTTGATATCCAACGTCTACTGTTATGTTATTTTATTCTGGTTTCAAAGGATCTACCAGTTATGCGTTTTGTAGTGGATATTTTGTCTTTGTTGTTGCATCGTAATATTTTTTTTTTTTGGTAAAATTGTAAACTTATAAAAGTTTTCCGTTCATAAGAGCATGAAAAACTAAACATAATTAATTAAAAGAGCATGAATATAATTTTACGTTTATAATCACATCAAAAAAGCCTAACTATTAAAACGATTAAAACAACTAATAATATTATATAACTATTTTAAAAAAAAGTACCGCTGGCTTTCTTGCTGGTTCTTCCCAGGACAGTGGTATTTTTCGAACCAGTGGTAAATAAAAAAATGACTTTCAATAAGTATTATGTAATAATCTATATTGAATAAAAGTTATTGTATTCTATTCTATTAACACGTAACTATTTTTGTCATTGACTTTGAATTCCGTTTTGTCGGCAGACGTTCGATCACGGCAACACTGAGCGCATTACCGATTGGTGCACCGAGCGAGGAGCTGTCGATCGGCTCCGCGGGCTCTTTAGCGCGTCACGCGTACCAACCCGCAGAATGGAACTCCGCGCACTCCGGTAAGTTGAATCTCCGACTTCAGACTTGACATCAGACTTTTTGATGTATAACATCTTTCCTCTCGCTTCTGTCTGTGTTAGTGATTCCTTGAAAAGGGACGAAAGTGTGTAACAGGAAGCCGGGGAAGCCGTGCTATAAATTAATTTACATGTGTAAATTACATTAATGTATTTACTCTTGATAATTGTCTCCGCTCTCCTCCAAATTGAACAAAATAACTGTCTTCAATAAAAAAAAATGCATTACTCCTAGTGTTAATTAAATGAAATGCAATTTACATTAAAAATAATTATGCTTCGTCACGAAAAATCATTTCAAATACCTGAATCATTTTTTCAGGATATAATGTTAATGTTGCTTGTTAACAAGGTGAGAACATCAGATGTTATACATCGTAATATGTGACTACTGTAAGGCTCGTCCGTTTTTTAACTTTATTTTTTCTATTTACCATAAATTACACGCTAGTGTTATAAAAAAAGAATATTGGTTTACGCTAATCATGCAGACTCCATCAAGGCTTTTTACTTATGAATTTCACACAAACATAGTGATTGTTGACTGTAATTGAAAATTATTTGTGTTTGTTGTCGGAAGTCTGGATACCATATAAAATTTTAGAAGCACCAAAAATAATTTAAATCATGTGGGAATGTTAATGATTCAAAAACTTTTCTCTTCATAATAGGTAATTACTTAAGATTAAAATTTGCAGAAGTAAAAGCAACTATCATTTTCTGGTTTATCTGGTCTTTTTATTGCTTCTACATCAAATAAAATACATAACCACTATGTATTTTAGGCTGCAATCAAAGACAACGTCAATAAATGTTTGAAATAAAACATTAAGTAATAAATCGATTTTACACTTTTAGGAAGCTCAACAATAACATCGGACGAGGAAGGTGAGGTGGAAGAGTCAGGATACGCGTCACTTGAGCGGTTCCTCATAGCGTGGGGACTCTCTCAATATGTGCAGAAGTTTAAAGACGAACAGATTGACCTGGACGCTCTCATGCTACTAACCGAGAGCGACATGAAATCATTAGGACTTCCTCTGGGACCGTACAGAAAATTAGTGACAGCGGTACAAGAGAGGAAGCAGGCATTCTCCCACCCCGGACCAATTATAGACACAGCCATATAGACCATTAATTTTCATTCCCCATGTATAATCACAAATTCATTTGTTTTCGTTGATAATTATTTTATTTCTTACCACTCTTATAGACGGCCTTACTTATAATTGCTGTTTAACATTAATGAAATCGCTTACTCAAGTATTAATTATGTCCATACTTATCTCTTTCATTTATCATTTGGTGAAGAGAAAGAGAGAGAACAACTTTAAAGCATTACTTAAAATGGCTTCTATTTTTATGAGTAAGACCTAAGTAAGGGATTGTTATGAGTAATTATTGGGAAAATTTTGTAAAATGACGTTTAAAGACTTCTTTCATACGTCTAACAAACGATAATTTACCCACGTATTTGTAGTAAAATCATTATTGAAATGTAATAAATACGTATATCTAAATTTAATTATTTCGTTTATTGATCAATTTTGATCAGAACGTTTTAATACTGATTGCTTACATAAAATGTACGATCATCATGGTATTGCCAAGTACCGAAATACTATACGAAAATAAGCCAAATATAATTTTTCCTACACCAAGTATTCTTAAAAAAATATGTTCCACTTTTTTTCATATTTATCATGTAATCCTTAAAAATCAATTATAAGAACTTAGTGTATTTTACAAAAGACGAAACTGCATAATATAAATGATAAAAGTGTTTTACCACAATGAAATGCCTCGTGATATGTGATAATTTTTAAAATGTAATCCATTCCATCCAGTATCGCCATATTAAATATTTTTGTATAAAGATGAATAAAAGTTTTTATATTTGTGATTTGTTTTTTATTCAAAATCAACCACAATATTTATTTATTTAGTTTAAAAAACTTTATTGTTCTAACCAATAAAAAGAGGTTACAAAGGGCGGGCTTAATGACAGTTAGCATTCTCTGCCAGTCAACCCATGGCGTGGTGAGAAATTAATGGCTCACCTGCCATAAATTTATATAGATATAACACTTACTAAAATAAAGCTTATAAATTACACAAATGCATATGAATACACACAAATAAATAATAATCATTAATAAAAAACCAATACATAAATACATACATCTATACATATAATAAAACTGTAAATAGCAGATGTCTGTACATTTTATATTTTTGTAATAAAAGTGATTGAGGGGTACTAAAAATAAGTAATTAAATACATTTCTACCATTTTTAGAATTTTCTGTCTGTCTGTCTGTCTGTCTGTCTGTCTGTTTGTTTGTTAACGTATCACGTATAAAGTACTAATTTATATCATAAGAATTGTTAAGGAAATTATAAAGTGTATCTTCGGGTTACATTTAGTCTTTATTTCATTAAAATCAGTTCATTCCATCAAAAGTTATGATAAATATTCTGAGGTATGGGTAGGGAAGTACGAATTTGCTCAACGGTGGCTTTGTTTGAGTCATCAAGTGCATTTTAAACTAATATCATATCATAAATCATAGTTAAATTATGTAAAATAATGATATAATTATGTATATCTAAAGCGCAGTAAACAAAAGTAATAAAGAACGTATTAAATATATTATACAAAAATATATTAACCTTATTAACTAAATCTGAAGCACAATAGTTAACCCATTTCTTCGATAGATGGTGGTGTTGTGAAAATGCAATTGCAAATGTGGTTTTTTCCTGTAGATGAGTTTTCATATTTACTGCTAATCTTTATTATATTACTCGCTGCCCTACTGCGTGTTGACAAACTCAATTTATTCTTTACCGCCGAGTACTCTATGTGGTAAATCAAATTTTAAAAGAGCTATTAACAATTGCATTGGTTTTGGCGAGAGTCAAACTTTATTTTTTGCTTACTGTGCAGGCACTGATTTATAAGTTCTCTTACGTTTTATATAATTTATCAATCGCGTCAATTAATCTCTTTGATTTTTAGAATTGATGATGTTAGCAGCGCCATCTCTCTTTAAATATATACATATAATAAAAATGATGATAACATGTTGTGTCTGTTTCTGTACATTGTAGGTATATATTATATTTTGGTGGCTAAAATCATTATGGGGAACTGAAAATAATTAAATAAGAACATTTTATAATTTTTAGAATTGTCTGTCTGTCTATTTGTCTGTTATTATATGAACGCATCACGTCTAACGTAAACATCTTTTATTTTCAAAGCAATCGTTAAGAATATCATAAAGCGTATCTTCGAGTTACATTTAATCTTTGTTTTATTAAAATTGGTTCATTCTATCGAAAGTAATGATTATTATTTTGAAATGTAGGTTCGAATTTGTTCAATGGCGCCATAAAATCTCAGAAATAGTAATAAAAAGATTTCTGTGTAAAAAAAACGTTCCATAATAATTAATATATTTATACTTAAAACACAAAAAGAGATAGGATGTTTTCTCACACAAAGGACGTAATAGATGGAGTTGTACAAATTACAAACTTTTCTGAATTGCTGTGTTGAGATTTTTCGCCGATGAATCTGAAAAACTGAAGAAATTTGTATCCATCGAAGCCATACAACGGAACCCGACCAAAAATAAAAATTTTGCAACGAAATGTCGTGATATTGTATTTATAATATACGCAAAATCAGAACTGCCATTTTAGCGCTTTGGGAACTAGATTTAGCACTTTTTTGGAATGTATAGCGCGCATTTCGAAATTTTAGCACCTAGCGCTTAATCCAGCGCTTTTTGGTGTATTTAGCGCACATTTCAATATTTTAGCGACTAGCGGGTTATTAACTCTTTTATAGCAGCACTGTTAGTCCACATTACCGATAATAATAATAATGACCTTTATTATTTTTCCCCACAAATAGTACATTGCAGTTTATCTTTTTCAAACATATTTTTTCCACAAAACAAAGAGCATGGGAGACGAGTCCAAACTAGGATACCCTGTGCTATGGATCTCCTGGCTTCCTCTTTAGAATGATCAACTTGATTTTTTTACCGACGACTATAAGCGGGGAAATCCCCTTTATTAAAGTTTTCGTTCATGGTTTTGGCAACGCATTTATTTTGCTTTATTCAGTTTTAGTCAGTTGCTTAGAGCACAGCTAAGTTAAAAGTTACTTAGAAGTTATAACACAAAGAAACTGTGTAGCAACCGCAATCAGATGCTGACATCTGAAACTAAGTTGCGAAATACATTGCACTTTAAAACAATTAATGACATTTTTATTGTTCGTACAGTACTAACTACTCTTGACAGCAATTGCTATAATTATAAGTCGATGTCCTGCGAAGTATTGATACATCAAAAAAATATTGCCAGAAAAAAACTTAATGTTGTTTTCTTTACTATGATTATATAAAAAAACACAAACTTTGTTTGTAGTTAATTTAGCGCGAAATCTAGCGCTTTTTGTGTTGTCCTAGAGCTGAATGAGTGTTTTTTATCTGGCAGCACTGCCCAAAAACCCTCTATTAAGAAGTAACTTTCCTTTCAGTTTTAAGCGCGTTCAGTTCCCAGTTACAGTGAGTGTGTGTTATGCGATGACCGTAAATAAAGCGCAAGGTCAAACTTTACGCGTTGTAGGAGTGTACCTCAGTACTGACTGTTTTGCACATGGCCAACTCTATGTTGCTTTTTCCCGCGTTAGTAGCCCCCGTAACCTTTTTGTGTATACCCCGGCTAAGCCTACTTCTAACGTCGTTTACACAGAAGCTCTATCATAAACCACTTAGAACTTTGATGATAATGATTTATTTAGTTACCACTTATTGATACAGTAATGAAATAAATCGTTTAATATTCTCTTACCTAAACGACAAATTCTTTATTTAAAACCTATACGCGAGCTACGCCGCGGGCACAGCTAGTACATAATATGTGTGGATAAAAGTAGCAGTATTGGTATTATGCTGACGACATTGTTTTTGAGAGATGTTCCCGGACCAATCTTTTGAAGGCTATCTTGTTTGGTGCATTCCTAATGTCTTCAAGTAAAGATTCCAGAGTAGAGTGTAGCCTAAACAATAAAAGAATTGCCGATAAAGTCAGTAAAATTGAGTGGAACAATATTATACTTTATTTAACCTTCATATTACTTTTTAGTTAAATTAACACAAGCATATGGTAAAACCCTCTCAGAAATGAGAGAAAGCCTGTGCCCAGCAGTGGAACGTATATAGGCTGTAACATTTATATCACTTATGTAATAACATAATATTTATGTGACGGCTCCGTGGCGCAGTGGCTTAGCAATGAGTTGTTGCGCTGGGGCCGCGGGTTCGAATCTCGCAAGGAACAAGTATTTGTATGGCCTACAAACAATTGTTTCGGGTCTGGATGTTTGTTCTCGTGAAATTTGTGTTTGTAAACTGCCTACACGATACAGGAGAAAATCCTAGTGTGGCGGTAACGTTTAAAAAAAAATGTCGTGTTTACGTCTGCTATTTAATGAAAACGAACCATTATACATGTTCATAACTCAAGATTGACAAAGAAAGAAAGACGGACCAAGCAAACAACTATTATGTACACATTATTCTATTACCATTACAGGCCATAGTTTGCCATAGTTGACACGCATGGAAGACATGTTGACAACCGCAGTATTTTGAGTTATCAGAAAGATGCTGCTACCCATCTCCTATTACAGCCTCCCTCTGTCGCCTCTTACGACACCCACGGGACGATATGGGATAGCGGATATTCTTACACCGCCACAACATGGTCGCCACTACACTAACGTACATACATACAAAATCATATGCAACCAACAAGATAGCTTTTTTACGTGGTAGAGCCATTCTGCAGCTATATTAATAGTATAGTTGTAGCACGAATGAGTCGGCTCGACGGGAAAGGACCATGCTCTCACAGAATACCAGCGTAAATAGCAGCTTAACGCTGCTGTGTTTTCGTATGTTGAGTGTAGAGAACCGGAGACCCGTTTTACTGGAAATGAGGCATTCCATCTTAGTCCTCACGGGTGACAACGCATCTGCATTTTGATTTGTAATAGAGGGTAGATGTAGATATCTATGGGTCACAGCAACCACTTACCATCAGGTGG